GAGAGGGCTTGGAAAACCAAGCCTCTCTTATACAATTGAGTGGAGGCTCGTAGAAGGGTGGCTACATCTCCACCCTTGATTTCTAAGATCCCTAATCTAGATCTATGGCCTTCATTCATCCAAGAGCCAATCTCATTACCAAGGTTGATGGCTCTTGTAAGTGGTGAAGAAAGCATTTTTTTGTAAATCTAACTTCACTATTGTGTTCAAAACATCTTTTCAAGTTAATATTGACTACTCACATGCCTCAATCCATGCTCAATTATAATTTTTATGGAAGTTTTTACTTACAAGGATCTTGGCAATTTTTGTGAAATTCTTCAAAATGAAAATTTCATTGATTCTCTTGTATTTTGAAGGAGAGGTTGCTGATCTTCTTTTCTTCACTCCACAAGGTAAATCCGGTGCCACCATTGCATTAAAAAGACTCCCATTAAATAGAAGAACCACCATGCCACTTAAATTTGTCGAATTTGGAGGAAAATCCAAAATTACTATTACTAACTTCCCTAAATCTTTTAGAGAATTATAATTCCAACTCCTAAATCATGTGAATGATTATAGATGCACTCATAGGCTTTTAGTCAACCCTTATAGTAATGACTAACAACCTCTAAATTATTAAACTAACTAAGTTACTATTCTAGTTTTCTAACTCTTATTATTTTAGTCCTAATTAACCTAATTCAAGGAATTAGGCTATGATTTATACCATCAAGGGTTGTAATCCTGAAAATTCTATAAAACTGAATTCTCTTTATATAAATCCTAATCTAACATGTTTAATTATCATAAAATAAGAAAATAACAAAATTTTAAAATTTAGAGTATAATTGAGAGTTCACAGTAGTGTAGAATACATATTTTTTTTATCTTTGCATATAATCTTACATCTCTTAATTTTTATAACATACAATAGATATAAAATTTATGTTCTTCTATGTTCCTAAAATAGATTAAAATATTTTCTAAATAACAAATAACAAAATCATCAAAAAACTCATAAAAGACATCATTTATTAGATGTTGAAAAGTAATTAGTGCATTCATAAGTCCAAAAAGCATAACATTATATTCAAAATCTCTATACCTAGTTCAAAAATTAGTCTTCTATTCATCTCCTTTGGTGTGGACCAGATTATATGCTCCTCGTACATCTATTTTCATATAAATCTTTGCTTGATTTAATTGATCAAAAAGCCCTAAAATCATAGATAGAAGATATCTATTTTTGATGGTGATCATGTTAAGTGCTTGATAGTCTACACATATCCATAGAGATCCGTCTTTTTTCTTTATAAATAAGATAAAATCCTTAGCTGGAGATTTAGAATAGCATATAAAATTCTTAGCCAATTTTTTATTAATATACTCTTTAAATGTAGCCAATTCATTTTAAGATAGGCTATACATTGGTCCAAATCATGGTTAAGTTTTTTCTTAAAGAATGATGGAACAATCATAAAGATGATACTATGGAAGAATATCTACATACTTCTTTTCAAAAATGTCCTAGAAAACTTGATACTAGCTAGGAATATGACTTGATATCTTTTCACTATGAATAATAGGCATAGCATATATAGCAAAAGATGGCTCTTCATTTACAGCATGCATGAAAGCTCTCACAACTACCAATAATGGTTTGAATGTACTAAATCTATGGATTTCTATTTGCCTAGTAAGACCTTGGGCTAAACTATGAAAAAAATCAAGATTATGAGAAATCCAATCTATCTAAGGATTATATCTTTTTAGCCATGATAATCCTAAAATAATTGGATTAAAAAGAGTTTTAATCACATTAAATATTATTAAACTATTGTGACCACTAGTTGTTACATTCATAGAAATAATTTTATGTCTAACATCTCCAAAAGACAATGAATGTCCATCTATTACTTTTACATGCATAGGTTTGATTTTCTTAATTAAGGATATATCTTATTTTTTGATAAAGTCTTCATCTATAAAACAATTTGAGGTTCTTGAATCCAATAATGTTAAGACTTTGTGATTTTTTGTTCCTAAATGGACTTCTATTATAGAACAAGGTGATGGATCTGAAGAGAGAATAGGAGCTTTATTAGATGTTGCACATGATTCCAATTGCATAGTCCACATTATAGCTGGAATAACTTATTTTTTTAATATATTATCTTCTTTGGCAATCATGCTTCTTATTTTGTAATTGTGTTGCTTCTTTGGACAATGTTGAGTAAGTTACTTAGCTTCTCCACAATATAAGCATAAGCCCTCTTAACATTGTCAACTTTTTTTCTATTCTATGAGGGATTTAAAATGTATCGTATCAATTTATATTGATTCTGGCTTTAATAAATAAGTTTTTAAAAACTTAGGAGTTGCCTTCATTATTTGATTTATTCCTCTCCAGCCAAATCTTTGTTCTTGATATCTTTCAAATAATCGATTATCACATACAATGGCTTGAGCAATAAATTATTTCAAAGATTCTACCTTTGGCATTGTCAATAACAAGTCTTTGACATTATCCTTCAATCCATATCGAAATTGATTGATAAAGGCTTTATCATTCTAGTTCACATTGAAAGCGAGGTTTTAGAATTCAGTAGTATATATACTGGCTAATCGTGATTTTTGTTGTAAAGATAAGAGCTTGGTCTTTGCTACTCTTTCTTGATCACTTTTTCCAAATGTGGCTGTAAACATTTCTAGGAATGAATTCAAATCATAAAGTAGTCACAAATTTTTTTCTATTAAAGATGCAAATTAAGAAAGAGCACTTTTTGATAGAAGTGCACCTATGAATCCGACTTGAGTGAAACCATTAGGGTATTGGAAAGGATGCAACCTTAAATAGAGATTAACTTCTTACAAAAATCCTTGAAATTTTGATCTTATTCCATCAATCTTCTCAAGCATATTAATCCTTGTCTCTATCATACTTATAGAAACAAAACTCCCTTGATTTGGTTGTGAGGTCAATCTACTTGCTTCCTTCGACTTTCAACTTCTTGCTACAAATTCCGAACTTCTTCCATATGTGTAGGCATAGCACCTCCATGATTCACATTAAAAATACATGAGACTTCTATTCTTAGAGTGTTGATAAGCTCATAAAGATCTACAATAGTTGCAAATCTATTCTCACTTCTACTAAGAGTAGCATCTATAATCTTTTTTTTCATAGATAATTCAAACAAATTCAAAAAATTAAATTAGAAGAAGATAATTTGCAACCTCTAATAAAAAAATCCACAAAGAAGAATAATCCACTCTCTTTAAAGAAAAGATCAATATTAAAAAATAAGAATTTTTGTTCAAAGGTGGATAGTCTGCAAGCTTCAAAATACAATAATAGAAGTGAGGTAATCCAATCACTTCTAAAAAAAGATAAAAATAATAGGTTAATATACTTGATAAATTATCAAGGATATGAATCTCAAAAAAAGAAAATCCTCAATATACTCTTGTGTCACTAAAAGGAGCTAGAAAGTCACTCAAAGATGATATAATATCAACTAAAATGGCTATTGCCAAAAACAAGAAGATTAGAAAGTCTTGGAATAAGTCTAAGGACTCGAAAGGTGTTCACAAGAGTGAAGAAGGCTTCACTCTTGCCTCCATATATACTCTCTAACTAGGAGCCACGTGGCAATATTTTATAGGACCTCCAACATGTCTTGACTTTGTTAGCCACATGTTTTAATTTGCGAGGCAAATTATCTATGTATGTGCCACATAGTTAGCTTGTTATACAAGCTATTATACGCTGTTAACTTGTTCCATAAGCTACCAACATGTGGTTAACTTGTTGGCCAAGTTTCTAACCTACAAACACATCTAAAGTCAAAACTGCATCTATGAAGCTTTTAGGAAGTTTTTTTTAATAAACTTTATGAAATTAATCTATATTTATCTACTTCTACCTAATCATATAAGTAACTATTGGAGTAAATATATATGTCCATGACACTTAATAAAGATTGAAGATTTCTTCTATTGTATTTGTCACATACTTTGAAAGTCTAATTGCTACAATACTAGTTTGGAGGACTACAGTTTGGCAATAATATCATTGTGGGATTCATCTTCAAGAATGTATGTTTTGTGGTTGTAGTTGACTAAAAGACTCCTAATCCACTAGGAAAGACACTAAAGAGTGTGTTGGGTGTATATTTGTATTTGGTTTAAAATACATATCTTATGATTTATTTGTAGCACTTGTTGTGTTCTATGTAATGACCTTTATTTATATGATAGTCAATTTATAATGATGAATGGATTGCTTTAGTAAAAAATTGAATCACTTTATCATTTATATATATATATATATATATATATGTGTGTGTGTGTGTGTATATATATATATATATGTATGTATGTATGTATGTATGTATGTATGTATTTTTTATTACATAATCCATATTAAAAATTTAATATAAAATATAGTATAAAAACTAATAAATTATATGAAATAATAACTAAACAATGCACTAAATGATATATGTCTTTCACATGACTTTAAATATAAAATATATACTATTATATAAGAACTAAACCTTTTAAATAGTATTTAAATATATGATAGTAATAATTATAATAACCAAAAAAATCTCAAATAGATTATTTATTTATTTTTACAAAGAGACACTAATTTTGTAAAATTAATAGATTTTTTTTACACAAAAATTTATTCTTTATACTATCAATCATTTCAACAAGACTGTGTTGCATATTTGTTCTTAAGATATTCTTAAGCTTACTTACTAATGCCTCACTAATTTAAACTCTTCCAGATTTTTCACTAAATATAGATTTGAAGTTTTAAAATGTGTGTGATTATATAATATAAAAGTGACAATGAATTAGGTAGTATCATACACATGACTTGTTCCACATCAAATTAAACCAATAAGAATGAAGAATGATGACGATCCTCCACGTGTCCACGACGATTCCAACCCATAATCCACACTTCCAGACGTCGGAACAGTCAACTTCTTCAGTGAATCATTGTGCTTTTGTCGTCGTCGTCGCTGTCGACTTTGCTGCTTGCTTGCTTGCTAAGCTCGAGTTAGGGTTTGGTTTTTTCCGAAGTACTACTCTTTTCGCCTTGTGTTTTGTTTGCTCCCTGCTGCCCCTCCCCTGGTTCTGCTCGAGGTTCTCGACTTCAGTTTCGTATTTCCAGTTACCGCCGTTGCTGCAGCTATGTCGTACCTTTTGCCGCATCTGCACTCGGGATGGGCGGTCGACCAGGCCATCCTGGCGGAGGAGGAGCGCGCTGTCGTCATCCGGTTTGGTCACGATTGGGATGAGACTTGCATGCAGGTCTGGCTCTTTCCTCTCCTTGTGTTTATGTTCCTCGTCATTCAATTTCTGCTTTGTTGGATCAGTGTCTACTTGACGGTATATCGTGACGTGATTTGCAAGTCTATTTGTGTTTGCTCGAAACCGTTTCATAATTCTCGCACGAGCTACTCGACTTCTTGAATCGGTGCTCGCTAGGATGGTGCACGTCGAGTTTCTGTTTTTTGTATTTTGAAATTTGCTCTGGTTCGATGTTATGGGTGCCGGATAGGGTGTTAGAAATCTTGGGTTTGTTATCTTCGTTCATTACTGTGTTGTGGCTAATGTCTCGTGGTCTGTTTTCAGATGGATGAAGTTCTTGCTTCTGTGGCTGAGACGATCAAGAATTTTGCTGTTATATATCTTGTTGATATTTCAGAGGTGCCAGATTTCAACACTATGTACGAGCTGTATGACCCTTGCACGATAATGTTTTTCTTCCGCAATAAACATATTATGATCGATCTCGGTACGGGAAATAACAACAAGATCAATTGGGCTCTGAAAGACAAGCAGGAGTTCATCGACATTGTGGAAACTGTGTATAGAGGAGCGCGAAAGGGGAGGGGTCTGGTCGTCTCCCCGAAGGATTACTCCACCAAATATCGTTATTAGAATTTTTATTTCACTCTGAGGAAAGCAATTTGTTACTCGGTTGCAGGTACATCCGCATTTCTTGACCTCAGCAGTCTCATCCATAGCAGCAACCTGCGCCTCAGTGGGAACGAAGTACATTATTAGTTAAACTTCTAAGTGTAGAGTAAGTTGAAAAATGGAGACCCGCCTAGGGCCTTGCGTGGTCTTCCATATCTTCATAATGTTGTCAAAGAAGTAACTTGAATATTGTTCCTGTTTTAGTTAACTTTGTGGAATTGTTGTGTAGAACTTTCCTCCCTAGAGTTGTGTTCTCATTGGGATGATGCAGGTCGAAGACGCTCAATCCTTTAGCATTACCAACTGAAATGGATCAAGGGAAACCTGCAGGTTTGGGTTCAATGTTTCCATTTTTATCCTAGCATTCTTGACATGTAGTGGCGGAACTTATTGAACTTCTAAACAATGTTTCAATGTATTTCAATACCAAGAAATAATATGTACCCACTGTGTAAATGGTCACTTGTGGAGCGTGTGTCTACATAAAGCTTCAATCACGTCATGAGGTAGGTGCAGTCATACCTCCCGAGTGCAACTATGAGTTGGTCTTGTAAGCAATGCAGAAACAAGAAGTGGAGTTAGCAATCGAAGGATGGTCACCACCATTGTCATAACTAATCAAATCATGAACACCATTATCTTGGCAATTTATCTTCAATGCCCAGTAGAATCCGCAGCATTTCCTGATTCCACTTACTCTTAGATCTAGAGATAAAGGGAATTGAACCTCTAAATTGGTTTAATTCTCTGGGATAGAAAATTTGAAAATAATCATCGATTAATTAGTTGAATGAAAGAAGATTAAAAAAGTAGGAAAAAGATGGCTATTTTGATGTCAAGAATGAGTTTGAATTCTAACAGAGAGACTTAAAAAGTAAGTACGACGACTCTAGCACACCTAAATGCTCACTAGTTGTAAAATTTTGTTTGCAATCCAAAGTTTTTGATGCAAGTATTCACTCATATTATTGATCATAGTTATATATTGACTAAAGAACTTGCGTGATGGGCCCCTTGCTTTACTTTGGGAGCGACACTTTGAAGTAACGAACTCTGAACGCTTGTCGCGTGTAGAAATTAGTCATCGCGGGGACTTGTTTTTTAGAATAATACCACAAAAATACGTTGGAAACATTAAAAAACTGCATGTGTCTTCTTATTAGTTATCAGGGAGGGTTAGAGTGAGAAGCTGTATTAGAGGAATTTTATTGAAAATAGTATATCGAATAAGAGTGTCAGTGGAATTCATTGAAAATTGTATCTTTGTAGGGAAGTAGCAATAGTATGTGATTTATTTTAGGAGAATTTGATGTAGTGGCATTAAGGTGGGTTGAAACTATATAGGTTCTAGTTTTATCTTATAGTTTTAGTAAAAAATGGAGTGTCAAATAAATATTGTTGTTGCCTAAAAACATTTGGTAGGAAGGTGTTTGCATTGTAGGAAACTATCTACACCACTTGAGCAGGCAAGAATTTTTTTTCATTATTCCTTTATTAGCTTCTCCACCTTTCTTTACTGTTTTTTCTATTGCATAATTCTCACACTCAAACATCCTCTAGTAAGAAATTTAAATAAAATCGGAATTGGTTTACAATTTTGGTGAATACTTTGGATGGATTTATAATGTTTGGTACTTAACATAAGTGTGTCTTGATTTTGATTAAAAATATATATATAATTTTTATTATTTATTTTAAAGGTGTCTGTAACCTTTGGTAGATTGAAATGACCTTAATTTATTTTATTTCTGAAATTTTTAAATTTAATTACTAATATTAGAAGTTATTTAATTACATTTTATGATTAAACATAAAAAAATCATTCCTTGTATTTATGATTCATAAATTTTAAAATTATCTTATAAATTTATTTATTTATTTATTTTTAAAAAGGAAAATAAATAAAAGATAAAAAATAAAAAAAAAATAAAAAACACACAATTATGACGTTAAGAAGACTTTTACAAACTATGTTTTCAAATCATAGTTCTTGGGAATTGCTTGGTGGACATTCCAATTTTATTTTGTAGACACCCCTTGTGTCATGTACCCTCTCATAAATAGAATAAAACTCTTATTTATACTAAAAAGTTATAGGATAAATTTACAATAAAATAATCTCTATATAAGATGAATAAGCTATTTTAAATTTATGAAAAAATATCTTAAATGTATTGCAAAATTTTATTAAATTCAATAAATAAACAAATAAAAATGTTGTAAGCCATTGCACACATATCCTTTATTGTAGATTTATCCTAAAAGTTTTTAGTGTAAATAAGAGGTTTATTGTGTGTATGTATGGGTGTGTGGTATGAGGGTGTCCACCTAGCAGTTTCTTAATGTTTTTGGAAAAAAAAAAAAAAAAAAAAAAACTGTGTTATTTATAAGTAATACATTTTAAAACAATTTCCTATTAGATATTTTAATTTCATTAAGTTATTTATATCACTGGTTGTTTTTTGAAATGTTTGTATTAACAAAAAAAATTTTGCAATATGTTCAACTTTTGTGATATTTTCATAATATTCTACAAACACATTATTCTTTTGTATTAGTAAGTGATATATTGAAACTTGTGGAAAATCATCACATCAAATAGAATGAATTTTCAATTCTTATTAAATTCATATTATAAGTGAGAGTATTATGTTATAACATTGGAAAAACAATTTATACATTTGTTAACACTATACATATGTATAAAAATGTGGGAACAAATCTAATTTCAATTCAATCTGTGAAACAACATTACAAAAAGCTTAACTAAAAGTACAAACTTTAATAACTGGTTCGAAAAGAATATAAAAATATGCATGGCAATTTTAAAATATGTAATGCAATGTTCTTATCTACTTTAAATAGTGTGAATTTTAGTTTGAAAGTCAAGAATTAATTAATGGTATTAATTTCTTAAAACAAACATGAGATAATTTGACACGAGGACTCGATTCAAGGTGACGTGTACTTGCGAAGCAGAGTTAGACCAACCATAATCTGAGTCAGCAAGGCGGTTACGACGCGAGGATGAATGAAGATTTATTCTGTCATAGATGAACCGCGTCCAGGACACATTCATTCACTTGAATCGGTAGGTTCTAGATGCTTCGCTGGGGATTCACAAATGTGGGACAAGCGCAACTGAAACTTCTAGAGCCTTCCTTCTTCCGAACCACGCCTTCTTCCTCTTCTTCGTCGTCCTCTTCCATCTCCGATGCCGCACTTCCCCGGCCCCTATGTAAGCTTTGCAATCCCTCCCCACAATCCCTCCCCACTCCAACGTTGTGTTCGATTACTCCTTTCAATTGTTTCTGCTCCCAATTAGCTTGTCGGTCGTCTACTTGCTTCGTTTCGGTAAGTCTCATGCGTCATTTTCTCGTTGATTTCAGCCTTAGTGTCTGAGCTCTGGTAGTTGTTTTGTTCGATTGATGTTTGGTTGGTTGTGGTGGGTGATAGTTGCGGTTCCGTGCGGGTTTGTGTCGTCAGGAGTTTTTATCGCTTGCCAGGATCGTTTGTGTCTGGTTCTATATTTGGTGTACTGAAAGTTGATGGTTTGTCCCAGTCCGGGGCTTGTGAACCATGCAGGGTGTTTAATTCGATATGCTGTTGGTGATCTGGATCGTGTTTTTAGGGATGGTTTCTTGGTGTAAGAGAAATTTCGTTTGGTTGTGAATTTATTTTTGTTTTTAGTTTTGAGGGTGTAACGTTCTGGTAGAGGTTGATGGGATGCAAAGGACTTCTGTCTGTCTATTTTGCAATATGCTAACATGTTTCGGGCTTCTTTCTAACAGATCTTTGTGATCTTTTGGTGACACTACCTTCAATTTCGTTCACCTAGTTCTTAATCAGTTATGCCTGCCAGAACAGCCGGCCCTATCTCCCAAGATTGGGCCCCTGTCGTTGTACACAAGCGACCCGTGAAAGCTGCTGATGCTCGTGATCCGAAAGCTATTGCTGCTGCAATTCGAGCTGGTGCGGAAGTTCAAACAGTCAGGAAGTTCGACTCTGGGACAAACAAGAAGACCGGTCCTTCATTAAATGCTCGAAAGCTTGACGAGGAACATGAGCCCGCGCCACTGGAACGTGTTTCATCTGAGATAAAGCATTCTATCCAGAAAGCCCGTTTGGACAAGAAACTCACCCAAGCTCAGCTGGCGCAACTGATCAACGAGCGTCCACAAGTTGTGCAAGAGTATGAGTCCGGGAAAGCAATACCTTCGCAGCAAGTGCTCGCCAAGTTGGAGCGCGCCCTGGGTGTGAAGTTGAGAGGAAAGAAGTAATCATTCTCGGAAGTTTTAGAATTCATAGCAAGGCCTCCTCATTTGAAAAATACACAGATTGCTGCGGTCGATTAGTAAATGCTGAATCATTTACGAAGTATGGCTCAGCATTGGCGATAGCTCTTGGTTTACCAGGTCGATAGTCGCCAGGTTGTGGCAGTTGACGTACCAGTGTGAAATTAATGAATGACGTGTATATAAAGAGGTACAGACATTGGTATGATTCGAAAAAACTATGTTCTACCGGTTTTTCTTCGAGTGTGACAGTCGATTGACACCCTATATTCCACGAATTATAGAACGTGGGCAATCATGCTCCTAAAACTTTTAGCACGTGTGCGCTTTTGCCTTGCTTATGAACGCTCTCGTAGTTAGTGTTATCCTCAGTGGCCATGGTCAACTCAGTGCTACTCAAACTATGTGACGGTTACAACTCTCGCGATGTCTTGTGCACACATTGCAAGAAACCCTTATGTTGTTTGACATGTGCCGAAACCTTGGTGTGGCATTCACAAGTCTTGAAGAAAAAGGCACCTTTGAGCATTTCAATGTGTACATGGTAAAGCCAGTGACATCGACCTGGAAATGTCCTAAAACTCATATTCTCTCCGTTTAATTAGAAAATGCTTGTGCCCTGAACATCTATCAGAACTTGTGGTGAACTGAGTGTGATTAATCATCAGATTCCTTTTTGAGCTCGTTTTCCTCGTCTATGTTGAGCACAGTTATGCTGGAGGTTCTTTCGTATCCCCATCAGGTGCTTTTAGTCTATTTGATGAAACTATACTTTTGAACTTTGAAATCAAATGATAACAAAATTTCTCGTGTACCTGATAGCTGTGAATAAAAATAGAAATAAATGTAGAATAGCATTTTAAGTAAATTATTCAAATTAAAAGTTTACTAATTCTATATGGAGACAAAAATCTAACAATCATCATCTTGTGATACATACATTCATATACACATGTACAATATCAATTAGTGGATTGAAGACACAATTATTATGCTCAAATTATATATTGGATGTGCAAAAGTATTCAAACATATTTGGATATATTTTCAAATTTTCAAATTTTCAAAAGGTAATACAATATTTTAAGTACTCAAAATAAGTGTATGTACACTTCTAATTAATGTTGAATTATGTGAGATTGATTGTGTGTTCTTTTAAAAAAAACCAATTAGAGGTATACATACACTTATTTTGAGCTAGAATGGCTATTGCCAAAGATAAGAAGAGTACTCTTGAAATAGATTAAAAACAAGAAAGGTATTGATATGAGTAAAGAAGACTGTATCCTTACTTCCATATATACCATCTTATTAGAAGTTATGTGGCAAAGTTCTATAGGACCTCTAACATGTGTCTAATTTGTAAGACATGTTTCTTATAAGTGAGCCACATGAATAGCTTATACCACAAGCTATCAATCCATGTGACATGTGGCTAACTTGTTTACTAAGTTTCTAATCTATTAATTAATTATAAATACATCCAAAGTTAAATTCGTATCTATAAAGCTTTTAAGAAGCTTTTTCATAAGTTATTATGAAATCTACATACATTTATCTTCTACATAATACTTCTTATCTTTATAATTATATATGAGTCATGAATACACTATACAAGAGACTAAAGAAGAAGTAAAACATAAGATTTTCAACAAGAAAACTAACAAGAACTTAATTAATCCTACTGAATATAAGATCAATACTAAGAGAAGTGAATTAAAGCTCCAAAAGATGGATTAACAAGATTGAGAATCCTCTCAACCTTGACTCAAATATATACTAAGTATTAAGAAGCTTTTTAAGGAATTTCCTTGTTACTTGAAGATGAAGCAACCTTAAGAAGCTCCTTGAGAAGTTTTTATGTTACTTGAAGATGAAGCAACTTTAAAAAGCTTTCTAGACAACTTCTTTAGTCCTCTTAGAATTTTTTAGAACTTATTAAAATATTTTAAAAATCTTTAAAAATCTTCTAGAAATCTTCTAGAATCTTCTATAAATCTTTTAGAAATATTTTTAGAATCTTTTAGAATCTTCTAGAACCTACTAGAATATTTTAAAAATGTTCCTAAAATCTTTTCTTTGGATGTCTATAACATCACCTCCCTTTCTAACTTCAAGTTCCACAAGCAGCATTAGCTTCATATTTGTTTTCTTTGTTATATACAACATCATAGTAATAGCTTCATAGCAAAATTATCTTAAAATAGATTTAGATGTTGAAGATAGCATCGATAAAACTTTTGTATCTTTTGCAATGCATTAATTAGATTTTCTAATAATTCCTACATATGCTCATTGATATTGTAGCTGAACCAATAAATAAAATACTCCAACTTGTCACTTCTTCATTAAGAATAAAGAATCTTTTCTACCTCATAATCTACATGATTATCTATTTCAATATAGAAAACTAATGGTTGTATTCTTTTTAAAATAATTGATTCTGAATAAGCCTCTAAGAAAGAAATATGAAAGATTTAATGTACCTTCATAGATGTATGTAGTTCCAATGGATAAGCCATTGGATTGATTTGCTTTTGTATACAAAATGGTTCCAATCTTAATTAATTCAACTTATTACAAAGCTATTTGGTCTTGATATTTTGTTGAAGAATCCATATTTTAATTCCAATTCATCTAAAGATGCTTAATAAGAATCTTGAGTTGCTTGTAAAATCAAGCTTCAAAGTCATCTAAAGCTGTGACAATTGTTTTGGAAGATCTTCAACTGTTAGGTTTTCATCTTTAAATGTATCTAACAAATCAAGCTTTGGATGGTAACTATAATTCGAGCAAAATGGAGTTTGTTGAATCAAAGCATAAAAAATATTATTATAAGCAAATTCTATTAAAAATAAATATGAAGTCCAATCATCTTGCTAACAATTGATAATACATTGCAAATATTGCTCTAAAACTTGATTGACTTGTTTTTTTTGACTATTTGTTTAAAAGTGGAAGGTTGAAGAAAGTTTATTACTCACCTTCAATGAAACAAGACTAATTTATTTCAAAAATCCAAGATCCTTCTAATCTACAGCAACATAAAGCTTCATTACAAAATAAGATAAAATGGACCACAACAAAACTAAATAGAACTAAATAGAATTAAATAGAATAGGACAGAAAAGACAAAAAATAGTCAAAAAAAATAAGTCAATCAAAATTAGAATAGAACAAAATTAGAATAGAATAAAATTGAATAAAAAGATGCAAAACCAAATTTTACTAAGACAAAGCATCCAAAGCCATACTTTATGAGATGCCCCAAAAGACCCTAGCTAGTCCTATTTATACCTTATTCTACCACCTTGGACTTTTTAGAATGTTCCTAGGTGGTAGGCTCTATCTAGATAACCTCCTTAAATTATTTTTCTAAAAGGTTCTATGATAGGCCCTATCTAAACAACTGTCCTAAATTCTTTTTAGAATGTTCCACGGTAGATCCTAGCTGGTCTATTAACCTAATCTCAATTCTAAAAACTTCTATGGTTCTAAATATTTATCCCTATACAAATATCTTATCTATACCTTGTTATAGTTTATCTCCCTCCACTAATGCAAAATGTCCTCGTTTTGCTCTTGATAGTATCTACAAATTGTCTCTTGGCAATAGGTGAGGTTTTGTGTAGATTTCTAAGTTGCATCCTGAATGGAATAACCTTTCCAAAGAACTTTGTACTGAAGTTGTGGATGTCCACTATCATTGCCAAGGTAGTGATGTTCTAAAATACTATCCACTTCATATTCTTGTTGGTCATCAACTACAACTAGTGGTGGTGGTGGTGGTTGGTGTCGATCTAGAAAGCCCTTTGGCTAAGTATAAAATTCCTTAAATTATAAAAAATAGAAGAGTGCATGGACCCAATTATGAGGCAAAAGCTTGAGGCAGTATGTAACATCAGATATCACTACAGAAATACGAAAAGATCCAAGCGACCAAAGTATTAATTTACAAATTTAGGTTGATGTAGCAAGTGGCAAGTTGGTGTTAGAGAGTAACACCTAATCACCATCTCGGAAGGTCTTATATTGTTGATGGTTATCCGCATACTACTTTTGTCAATTCTATGTAGTAAGAAGGCAGTGTCGTGCCTCTTGTAAGGCCATTATAAGCCATTATATAAATTCCTCTATTGTTAGATTATTGGTATCAATGAAACGATAGAGAGTTACTGGCGTAATTGGATACTGACTTGTATTAGGAAAAAATGGTGAATGATTAGTACTTACTTAAATACTATCATTGTAAGCAAACTTTGAGGGTATCAAATATTCATCCCAATTATTATGATGAACCACTACAAATGCCCGCAGCATATCCTCCAATGTCCGATTTGTATGCTCTATTTGACTATCTGTTTGGAGATTGAAGGTTGTAGACATGGCAAGTCATGTATCTAGTAGCTTGAATAAGGCTTGTTAAAAACTACTCGTGAAGCGTGGATCTTAATTTAAAATAATGACATGAAGAAATCCATGGTGACAAAAGATGGTATCAAAGAAGACTTACGCAACTGCTAGAGCATCAATATTCAAGCATACCATGGCTAAGTGAAGTTGCATTGAGAATTGATTTACAAAGAAAACAAGTTCAATATGATTATGAGGCGTCTACGACTAACATGTAATGAGATCCATAGTCACCTACTCCCAACAAGCTATAAGTAGTGGAATTGACTGCAATAGTCTATTGAACGGATCTTTAGAACGGATCTCAATGACTATTGCAGTCTATTGAATGGATCTATTGTACGCTATATTGCGTACTTTATTATGTTGACATGATTTACAAGAGTATACAAAGGCTCAAACACCATGATCCAAACTTGTCTAAAATCATATTCTTGAGATCCATTCTAAAGTCTTTTCTTGTCCTAGATGTCTAGATATTGAAATATCATGTCTTTCTTGAAGTATACATGTTCAAAGTATAACATTGTTGGATACATAAATCCGCTTCTTGAAATAGAGTAAGCCATCACTAAGAGTATAATCTTAATATTGTATATTACTCTCCTTTAGTCAATTGCTAATCATCTTTAAATAAACATCTCAATATATAGTTTCTTTCTATTTTGCCTCTTTTGTTAGATTTGAAATGACACTATTAATGGTAGCGACTTTTGCCTTGTCTCCCAATTTGCCCTTCAAGACTGGTCTTTGTAATAAGTTGTTTGACATAATATGTTATTACCCTTGCTTATACTAAAGTTGAATATTAAAAAGCTGTAACTGTTCTTATCAACAATAATGCCATGATTTCATATTTTTCACATCCAAATCATGTAGCAAGGATTTATGGTGAGTTCGAACAACCATTGGCTTCTCCAACACATAG